GCCCGCGGTGATGAACTCACAGCTCACGCTCACCTTTAGCACATTTACTGTGACCACAGCGGATCAGACTGTCCATAATGCAGCATTTCTGCACGCTGAGGTCACTTATTTTCACAATCGAGGCGAGTTTTGCTGGACCGCTGATCGGGTCAGTGTCACTGGAACTACAGTAAACACACCTGAGCTCAGATTATCTGCACTGGAGCAAACCGGAATCACCTGCTGCAATATACTGAAAACACACACTCAGGGAAAACTCTGGTCACGCGTTACACAGATGAAGGAGTCCTCTGAAATATTCCTCACTATTCAGTAGTGCTGAGCAATGATTAATCACATTCAAAAGAAAAGTTTATTCTTACATGATGTGTGTGCGTACTGTGCATATTTATATAATACACACATGCATGCATATATTTAAGGAAATGTTTATTTATATTTAGATATAAAATAAATGTGTATATGATACAAATTGGCCTCACAGAAAAAAAGCCATTAGTTTGAGTCCCGGGTGGGTTAGTTTGTGTTTCTGTGTGGAGTTTGCATGTTCTCCCCATGTTGCCGTAGGTTTCCTCCGGGTGCTCCAGTTTCCCCAACAGTCCAAACACATGCGCTATAGGGGAACTGATCAACTAAACTGGCTGTGGTGTATGAGAATGTGTGCGCGAATGAGTGTGTATGGGTGTTTCCCAGTACTGGGTTGCAGCTGGAAGGGCATCCGCTGTGTGAAACATATGCTGGAATATTTGGCGGTTCATTCCGCTGTGGCGACCCCTGATAAATAAGGCGACTAAACTGAAGGAATATGAATGAATATCCATGTAACAAAATAGTTTTGTGTAGTTTTGTTTTTATGAATGTGCGTCACTTATACATTTTAAATTTATATAATACAATAATGAGTAATTTAAATGATATTACTGGACTGAATGGACGTTATCAGTGGTTATCAGCTGATAGATATGGGCCAGTAGGGGCCTTCTGCACCTAGTAGACTCAGAAGGCTGTTATCATCCATCCACATGGTTCATCAGCTATAGATCACATACAGCTGTGGCCGGAGGTTAATGATAATTATTTATAAAATTTCCCATTAATTGAATTTTATTAACGTCGTCTACCCCAACCCTAAACTCAACCGTCACACTAATGTAAAATCAGGTCTGGATCTGGCGAGGCAGTGGCGCAGTAGGTAGTGCGTTTGCCTCACAGCAAGAAGGTCGCTGGGTCGCTGGTTCGAATCTCAGCTCAGTTGGTGTTTCTGTGTGGAGTTTGCATGTCTTCGCGTGGGTTTCCTCCGGGTGCTCCGGTTTCCCCCACAGTCCAAAGATATATGGTACAGCTAAACTCTCTGTAGAGTGTGTGAATGTGTGTGTGGATGTTTCCCAGAGATGGAAGGGCATCCGCTGTGTAAAAACCTGCTGGATAAGTTGGTGGTTCATTCCGCTGTGGAAACCCTGGATTAATAAAGGGACTAAGCCAACAAGAAAATGAATAAATGAATAAGGTCTGGATCTGGAGTATAGCTGATTAACCATGTGGATGAATGATAACAGCCTTTTAAGTCTACCAGTAGCTGCAGAAGGCCTGTACTGGCCCATATCTATCAGCTGATAACTACTGATAACGCCTATTCAATCCAGTGATAACATTCAAAGCGAGTGGTCAAAACAAACTTCTATTTTGTATGTGATTATTTGTGATTAATCTTCACCCAGCACTGTTTCTTAAATATTGTTCAACAGCTCAAGGAAATCTTCACAATATTTCCTTCAATATTTATTTTTTCTTATTTTTTTTCTTTTTGTTTGGCTGGAATAAATATATATTTTGTTTACATATGAAGGTCAATTTTATTAGCTCCTTTAAGATATCTATTTTCTCGATTATATTCAGTACAAACTACTGCTATCTAATAACTTGCTTCCTAAGTGATTCTTTATACGCATCAGCTGCCGACCGGAAGTCCATAGTATCCTCCTTGCGCATATACGCAAACTAGCTGGCCTCCGTTACACTCACTCCCTTAAACGTGAGGCCAGCTAGTAAGTGCTGTGCAGGAAAACCTCCCTCTGAACTCCAAAGGTGCTCTAGCGACAGACGCTAGAGGCCATGGTCTTTAGAGCAACAGACTCTCATGCGGAAGGTCGCCGGTTCGATCCCAGCTTGGAGCGGCTTGGGTAGTGTAGGACCGGCGAGGTTACACATATAAGAAGTTCATCTTGTATTGTGATGCCATTTAATAAACACCATTAACAGTTACTGTAAATGACACAGTATTTTACTGTAATATGCATTCTATAATGTCAATTAATAGTACTGGCTATAGTACATACATTAAATGCGTAACAAGGAGGTCTTAAAACTAAGTGCTACCTCATATTATTTTTATTTCTATGCAAATAAAATCAACAGAAAATGCATGCTTTGTAGAGTAAATATTATTCTGATGTGGTTTAATGCTCATCAAAAGTGAGATAAAGGTTATCAGGAAACATCTGGAACAGCAAACATCAGTGGTGTCACAGAAAGCAGAAATACTGTGATCGTCAATGGTGCTAAAGGTTAAGTAATGATCAATATTATACAAATTAGAGAGGGGAGAAATAAAAGACAAGCTTGTATATTTATTTATAATACTGTATATACAGCCCAAATAATGTGACCCAGGAGTCACAATGATTACACCTGCATGGATTGATTATGAAGCTGTCCTATTCGGTTGTGCTTCACCCTGTCCACTAGACGGCGCCTGCGCACTGCGAACTTACAGCATCAGCTTTACTATCTGTGTCAGTTCAATTAGCCTCAGTTACAGCATCATCATCGTCATACGTGCAAAACACTGCTTTCACATGCTTTTCCTTTAGTTCATCAGATTAAACTATAGAAAAAACATCTATAATAAATTAATTTAAATAACTAACACAATGACCAAAGTTAAACTCAGTCATGTGTGTTTATATATACAGAACAATAACAGAATTAATACAAACTTTATTCAGATATGAGATGAATTAAGCAGCTTTAAACGCCAACATGAAAAAATACTATAGTAATTTATACTAAATAGATCACTATGGTGTTTATGAACCACACAGTAAAGTGTTTTATACATAAATGATAGTATCTACAATTCTTTGCTAATGAATGCTCCAGCATACTGTAATATTATTTAATAATGTAGTATTAAACTGCAATACTTCAGGCTTTACTTTGTGTATTGTAGTATAATACAGCCTATAATTATAGAAAACTACAACAACTTATTAATTTAAGTACTTTTTATAGGACAAAAACACTAAAGTATTTGCTATAGTATTGTTGTATTTGGCTATAGCATTTATATTGGTATGAACCATTAAATACCTATAATGATGATGCATAAGCAATTTTATTTATTTTTAACAATATTTGTTGTGTAACAATGTCTGTTTACAATACACAAAATATCAATTATTGTCAATGGAACAGAACATAAAGGGAGAAAAATAAAAAGGATAAAGGACACAAACATACACTTGAGGGAAATTATCAGTGACAGCAGTGTTTCTCAACCATGTTCCTGGAGGACAACCAGCTCTGCACATGTTCCATGTCTTCCTAACCAAACACATCTGATTCAGATCATCAGCTCATTAGCCAGACACTCTGAAAGACTTGTAATGCCTGAGACAGACAAAGGAGACATCCAACACATGCAGTGCTGGTGGTCGTTACAGTTGGTGGAGTTACAGTTTATAAATTAAAGTCATGACAAAATGACATGGTTCTACTTGCTTTCTTATTTTTTCAAGATAATGAAATTGTATTTAAATAGTGATTAAATTAAACAAACAGGAAGGGTATGCACTCAAAAAGTTTCCTTGCGTGTTCAAACAACTTTAAAACGAGCTGAAACAACACAATTCTTGAGTTTTTTTGGAACACTTAATTGTTTTAGGTTAACAAAATGTTGGGTCAACATGAATGAATTGTGTGGACATTTGTTTAGTTGTTGAGTTACAATAGCAATCTTGGTAGGGGCGACATGGACACCAACTCCCCCACCCCCCCATCAATTTTGACCACCCCCCATGCTCTTCACTTTTGTCTGTGACACCACCTATCAATCCCCCCTCCCCCTAGCTCTTCACTTTCGTGACCGTCATTTGCCTCATGCGCCAGTTAAGCTTGCGCCACTACTGACAACAACATATTATTTCAAGTACTTTCTTTAGTTCTAAAATACTACATTATTTACTATAGTATTTTGTCAACACAGGCTTATTGTAAAAACGTACCCCTATATACATTTCTGGACATTGCGAATTATGTAGCCAGAGCTATGTACGGCTCCATTTCGTCTTTAAAACAAAGACTACAAGGCCGTATGACGCCATCGAACGCTTCTGTTTCTTTTCACGGTACCACCTGACCACAACTGGGCGGTCGGTCAGTCTGTCAGTCAGTCGACAGCGGCCTCTGGTGGATTTTTGTGAGAACAGCAGGTGTGAAAGGCACTTGCGAGAGAATTTTGAGATATAAAAAAGCATACACACTGGTCTCTGGTGGATTCACGAAAACAAAAACTATATATAAAAAAACATACCTCCTGTGAAGTATTTGGTGCTCTCCAGAAAAGTATACAGGGGTACATATCAATAATGAGCCTGGGTTGTATTTTTTTAATGGATATGTATTACATTTAAATTGATTATCATATGATAAAACCAGTAACGAACTATAGTTGTTGTAAAATGATGCCAAACATCCGAGAACAACACATAGAGCACACTTTATTGAACATGTACAGATAGATGTTACATATACTATATAATGCAGGTTAACTATGTTATTGTTAATAACAAGTTTAGCTGTTAAAAGCTGTTGGTTACTAGTTAATAAGTTAAAGTTTTTAGCAACTTATGCGTTTGTGGTAACTAATAACCTTCACTTTTCTGATTTTGACTGTAATGCAATAACATAATGCAAAAAAAAGCCAAAACAAACTCAAATTAATTGAACTATTCTGCGCGCACTGTGGAAAGCGATTAGGTGACTTCATAATTATAAGGTAACGAGTTTACTCCATTTTTAGATAAACTATGTGCACAATTAGCAATGTTAAGTCACTGTGTGTTTGCTGACTTTTTAAAAGTAAAATCAACTTGTTGCTTTAAACATTTACTCAGTTGTTTTGTTAAAGTAAGGTAACTAATCCCTTTTACAGCGTGTGCACAATTATAAGGTGATGCATGATGAGCAGATCTGTGCTTTTATTTCCCATCAGTCAGATTGCGTCATGCATCAGTCTGCGCTGTCCTGTCATGTGTTTGGTGTGGATGCATCGCATTGCTGCGGGTCACTGGGACAGGGGTCACTCCTCGGACTTGGATCCACACAGCCGCGGCTCGACGTGGCACTGTAAGTGTAGTATGTTTATTTGTTCTGGCTAATGATCAACTCCTGCGGGTCTATATATATTTATCTATGTATGTGTGCATGTGTTAATCCACCCTCCCTCAGGCGCGCGCGTAACAGCCAGAGCGCACACGAGGCGCGTCATCTAAACGTGTGACGGTAACTTTTGATGGATTACTCCACCTGTAAGTGCTCAGGTGCAGCTCACTTCTCTGCATCCATCTGCTAGTGCGCGTCTCTCTCCAAGACTGTCCCGAACTCAAGCAAGCAGAACATGCATTTACTTTCGTGTCTGAATCTATCCACGCTGGTGGTGCTGTGCGCGTTGGCAGATTCAGGAGCGCGCGCTGCCACTACGGGCTGTCCGACGTGCGGTCTGCCGGCGATGGAGAAGGGCTCGGAGCAGCAGTACCTGGTGGAGATCGCCAAACAGCAGATCCTGAGCAAACTGCACTTGCGGGAGAGGCCGAACATCACGCAGACGGTCCCGCGGGCGGCGCTCATGACGGCGCTACGGAAGCTCCACGCGGGCCGCATCCGACAGGACGGAACCCTGGAGCTGGAGAACAACCTGCCGAACTCGCGCTCCAGCAACCAGGCCTACGAGATCGTGAGCTTCGCTGATATCGGTGAGTGCATCTGACCTGCAGAACAACCATCTTAATAAACATTCATTGGAGGTGCGCGCATGCATACTCTCCGAAATCTCATCTATCTATCTATCTATCTATCTATCTATCTATCTATCTATCTATCTATCTATCTATCTATCTATCTATCTATCTATCTATCTATCTATCTATCTATCTATCTATCTATCTATCTATCTATCTATCTATCTATCTATCCATGCATATATAACCTTATTCAACTTATAAGAACCTGTTAGGAACTAAACTGCAACTTTTGTAAAGATACCGCCCCAGTCACAGATTCGCCGTGACAGACAGGTAACTGGCTGGCAAACTATTCATATGGCCTGAATTTAAACAAACAAATGAAGTTAAACATTGCTAAATTAAACGTGTTTACATTGAGATACGCAGCACATTCAGATACGCGGCGACTCACTTTACCCAAACGTGCACACGGAATTGAACAGTTGCGAACGATTTAGACCGAGAAGCTGATTCCCTCAATGGTAAAACTAGCCATACGTTGAAAGTTATTATACTGCATACACTTTTACAATATTATAAACCAGCAGCCTACATTCGTGCGTCTATATTGTTCATAAGAAACATCTTTAAACGTGTTTGTGTTCATCCAGCTTTGTTCAAGTTTTTAACTAACATTTTACATTGAGAAACTGATTTCCTCCATGTTAAAACTGCTTCAGCTGTAGGTTAAAATGTGCTATATACACTTGTTTTATATTAAAGATAAGTACATGGCTTTCCTGCTCATGAAACCATCTGCAAATGAGCATACAAGGACAGTTTTATGAATGAATTACATTGAAAAATAGGAATCCCTCTAAAAATGCTGAGATTTTCAAGGCAATTTGATCCTGCACTCTCAGAAATAAAGGTATGTGAGCTGTCACTGGGGTGGTTCCTTTTCAAAAGGTGCACAGTTGTACTTTAAGGGTGCATATTGGTACCTCAAAAGTATATTTTAGTACCTAAACATTTCAGGAGGAACGCTTTTGTACTTTTAGGTACTAATATGTACCTAATATAGACATTTTAGGTACAAATGTGTACCTTTCGAAAAGGTACCACCCCAGTGACAGCTCCTGTACCTTTATTTCTGAGAGTGTAGAAATAACCCTTTAGCTTCCTGCTCTACCAAGTGGTTGATCATATTTTGACTGTTTTAAATAATGAATGTTAAAGTCATTTAAAGAATTATTGTTTTAACAAAAGCTCACACACTGCATTGTTGGTTAACAAAACAAATCAAACAAACATCCTGTAGTGCACCTGTGGCACTACTACACTTAATTTTGGTTTTATTGTAAAAAAAAAAAAAAAAAAAAAAAACACAAGAAAGCTTGTTAAATGAGAATCTGAAATATTTTATGGCATAATTCAAACAATAAAGATGATTTAGTATTCAAAAATGTTTTTTTTTTTTAATTTATTTTTTTGTAAATTAATTGCAAATAAATTCGTCTTACACTTCTTATTTTCTGATTTTTATAGTTTATATTGATTCCGGTACTTTTACCATAAACCGACATTTCAACCATTTGGTAGAGGCTGATATTTTACAAATTAGGGGATGTGTTGAACAGAGTGTGTTAACTAGCAACATTAGGAGTTAAGAAATGCAATCCAAACATTTCTTTCTTGATGGTGCAGTTAATGGAATAATACAAATTAACCCAGCAGTTGGTTTTGTCCCCAAAATTGAGTGGAAATAACCCCTTTTAGAGATCCTTTGTTCAATTACTTCAATGATTTCTTTAATAATGCATTTATAAAATGTGTAAGATCAGTGCTTATTACCTTTATGTGCTTATAAATCGTTAATTAAACTCTTTTAAAATGCTTTAAATGAACAGAATCAGATCTGCTTTCTTCAACGATGACCCGAGTTCCTAGGTCAAAATATATTTGTTTAAGATAGCTTATGTTTGCGTTTAACTGTATTTGCTGAAATACTCAATAATCAAGGCTAGCAAATCTTAAACATTATAGGTTAAATAAATATATATATATATATATATATATATATATATATATATATATATATATATATATATTTCTTTCTAAATTTCAATAGAATAGATTTTCCTAAATTAGTTAAGTGGTAGATTGATCTTGTTATATCTAATGCAAAAAGATTAGGGCTCCGCCAATTGACATGAATAATAAGATACACTACGGGTCAAAAGTTTGGGGTCAGCAGGATTTTTCAATGTTTTAAAATAAGCTTATCCTGCCCACCAAGGCTGCATTTATTTAATCAAAATACAGTTCAAATTGTAAAATTGTGAATGTTATTGCACTGTAAAATTACTGTTCAAAAGTAGTTTATAATTTAGTTTAAAGTTATTTTTAAGATGAATTTTCAGCTTCATTTCTGCAGTCTTCAGAGACTGAAAGTAAAAATCACTCTAATAAAAAAAATAAAAAATAAAAATAATAATAATTATTATTATTATTATTAATGCTAATAGTAATAAAATCAATAATGACTGGAGTAATAACTATATTATTTAAAATTATATTGTTATTTAAAATTGTCATTAATTTTAAACAATTTTTTACATTTAATAAATGCCACCTTGACGAACAGAATAATTTTAATAATAAGAATTGATGAACAGAATAATAACCCCAAACTTTTGAGCGGTAGTCTATATTTTTTTTTCCATAAAAATAAAGCAGTGATGTCCATTATAATGCATAAAGAGTCTAAAATATTTATCATGAGATTACCCTTCTTTAATGAGCCATTAGATAACATTGCATCACTTTATTTGCGAACTTCATTCTTACCTGATATCTTTATTTTAGGGAGTGTTGATAGTGTTGTGCAACATTTTAAAAAAAGGGTGTAGGAATTGTGTGGGTGTTCGTAAAAAGAGCCTTGAATGACACAGACAACGTTGCAGCCTAAAACCAATCGCTTCCAATTGATCAAATCAGGAACTAATCAACATATAATCAGCTATAATCTCAGTATTGGAAGACCAC